ACAGCTGCAGCCAGCTGAAACCACATTTCCAAAACTCATAATTCTCACTGAGACTTTTTGTCATGTTTGTTTTGAGCTAAATAGTCACTGCTGAGGTGTTTTGTAGTTTTTGTCTGGTCATCACAACTTGCCTATTTTGGTGTTTGTGAGTAGGTTGGGAAATATCCTCTGTACATGATTACTGTAATACGGGACATATACTGACATTATTCCCTTAACTGTATTTGAAGTTTGTGGATCCTATCTTGCACCCAGTGCAGAGCGGCAAGCAGTGCAGCACAACTGTCATTGCTCGTTTCAGACCGACACAGTTGTCATTTTCACAGCCGGTACCCACGTAGTGTAAAGAGCAAATGTACTTGCAACCATCTGTGCGCCAAATGAGCGTTCTAGATCTAAAAATGAAACGTGGCCATGCACATTGTTTTTTGAGGCAGCATAAAGTGAAGTATTTTCCTGCTATTTAAGGGCTCATTATTCAGATAGTAAGATGTGCCTTCATTGGAGGGTTCATAACGAGTGGACACTCTGCTTGTTACACACAGGGACATGTGTCTGGGTTGCAGGTGGGTGAAATGATACATCAGGAATGAGGAAAATATTAATGACATTCTGATGACATCAGAGCAGAGCTGCATAGTTGCTGTCTGACTCCACATTAAGAGACTTACACACGGGGAGCAGTGTAACTTTATTGATTATTTCAGAAGCTAAACGTTTAGTTCTGTTTCCTCTGTCAAGTTCACAACTACAGTTTTTAGTTTTGCTGCTTATATGTCCCAAAAACTTTTGCTACAGTAACGTTACTGCTCTGACTGCACTACTCTCAGCAGAAAACTGCTCACTTCTCCAATTTGCAGAATCCCCTTTACCCCTTACGTCTTGCTTAGTGTCCAGATTATAAACTATTTAACTAGAAAAAGTTATTGGACATGCCCTGAATGCACTTACGCTATGTACTTTAGACCATGAGCGATAGTTTGTTTAAATATGGCCTTGTATCTAAGAAGAGCAGCTCCACTCTACATCTTGTTAAGAGGAAATGCATTGTTGCACTTTTACAAGCCCTGCTACACCAAGACACTGGTATTAACTCTCAATGTGTATCTGCTTAAAGAATTCTAATCACAGGCCTTTGCATTTACACCTGTATTATTAAGTGTACTTGTTATCTTAATATGCAAACTAGAGAGGTGGACTTATTAAAAGACATGGTGTGTCCCAGGTGAAGGGAATGCTGTGTGGGAGGGGAGAGGAAATCTTAGCTTTGTGATGCCTAAACTGGACAGATGTCATTTACACCCAGTGGCGATCAGACCACAGTGCCACCTAGACCACTTCCAGGACACCATTTTTACTTAGTATTAGCACTGAATTTGTATCTGGGAATGACATCTGGTCTGTAATCAGTTTTTGGCAATTACTCTTGATTCTTGCCACATAGTGATCAGCTCTAAATAGGCCTATTTAACTAACTAACTAACTAACTAACTAACTAACTAGGCTAACATTGTCTCTGGTCCCTCATAAGTCTTCGAAAGTGATGCATCTGTATGAGCTCTGCTGACTTTTCCTCGGGAAAGGAGGAACTTGTCTGTAGCTTTTGGATAAACAGTGTGAAATAGCAAGAAGAGGAGGAGTTAGATCATCTTCCAACTTGCTGTGTGGATGTTTTCTTAAGAATGTTGGTAAACTGCACAAAATGTGAGCCAGACCACTTCCAGATGTGGTGCACCTTCCATATCCCAACAAATCCTCCAGACTACATCATGTTATAAGTACCTGATTACCTTTCTAAATTAACCCACATAACCTATGTGATGTGGACCCACATGTTTCTTTTCTTTATGATTAATCTATAGTAAATGTAATGTAGTTTGGCCTGCACAAGTTCAATAAATAGTATTTATTGTACACTAGCAGCTAGCCATTGTTTCAAGTTGATTAATGTGTGTGTTGTTCAGTCAATGTGTGCCCTCTATAATCATGTGGATAACCCTGGTCTCTCAGTGATGGATAAATTGGCTCCTATTAGACAGTACAGCTCTCAGAGTAGGTTTCCTTGACATGGACCACAGTTGTATGCAAGTAGGTGTGTGATAGCAGTGTTGTAATGGAGAAACAGTCAGAAGTAGGGAGCTGTGATTGAAGAATAGACTCTACATACATATAAATATATGCTAAATAAATCTGTACTGTAAATGTGTGCTAATAATTGACACTGAATACAATAGGACTATTGTGAGTTACCATGAAGTAATGCTTTTAAACCTGAAAACTGTAGTTGTAGATTATGTGGTAAAGTTAAGGATTAAACAAGATAGGCTTAATGATGAAGAGGATTCACAATCCAACAGTGCTGGTTGGAACAGCCTGTTGTCATTCCCAGGGCGTCAGATTCTGATGCTTTGTGAAGCTGCTTGGTGTGCAATATTTTTTACCAAAGACAGCCTTTTACATTATTAGGCACAGGCACTTCCAGTTGCCTCTCTGTCGGCTCCGCTAAATTTGTGCTACATTTGTACTAAATTTGTGCTAAATTTAGGCTCTTATGTCTATTTTGCAAGTCTTGGTGGTGCTTTTGTGGTTAGCTTTGGATGGTGATGACATGTGGCTGTGAGTCACTCATTGGCATGGTATCAACTCACCAGTCTGTAAACTCCCCTTCTGACAACTTCTAACTAGCTAGCTGCTAGCTAGCCAGGTTGAGATTTTTAAATGTAAACATGGGTGAACATCGAGGAAAGGTGGAGAAGATGGGCACCAGCTGACCTAGCATCCTGCTAGACATTTTATAGGCATTTGTCTAGCCAACCTGCATTTAAGGTGAAATACTGTACCTCCATGGGTTTAAGGTGTATTACCCCCTGTGTATTACCCCCCTAGATAATAAACTAGCTGACCCCCAGTGCTGCGTCAGTTTCTAACAAGATATCAGAAACTCTAATATCCTTTGATTCACTAATACTTGGCTAAATCCTGGACAGTTCCATTCAGGTAGGTGACTCTTTTTCTGTATGCCAATCTGACAGAACAGAGGACTCTGGTGAGAGAAGCAGAGGAGGCATGTGCCTTACAGTGAATAAGGACTGTTATGTCGGTGGGATTGTGAGGTGCTATCTAATTCCTGCAGTGAATCACTGTACTAAGCAGAGCCGGCTGCAGCTCAGAGTCGCTGCCTGTATGCAGGTGGAGCAACCATATGGCCGCTGAGGTTGGGATATGTTGACAGTTAAATCATTCCACAACCACAAACATGGATTACCAAAACCATCCAGAAAACATCAACAATTACAAAGCAGAAGCCACCAATGCAAAAGATGCTAAAGAGGTCCTAAATTACAGTGCAGTCAAGGGTGCTAATGAGATCACATTCACTGGAGTTGTACCTTGTATAATTCCATGTGACAAATGATTGATTGATTGATTGATTGATTGATTGATCGATCGATATTATGAGATGCACCAGTTGTTTTTTTTTTTTGTTGTTTTTTTTTTTTTAAGATTTTTATTTTGGGCTTTTAGCCTTTAATGAACGGGACAGAGGAAAATGGGGAGAAAGAGAGAGTGGGGGGACGACATTCAGCAAAGGGTCACAAGCCGGAGTCAAACTCACGACCGTTGTAGCAAGGCATCACCTCTATATTTGGGGCGCCGGCACTATCCACTAAGCTACCAGCGCCCCCATGCCCCAGTTTTTTAAGTAACTTCAATGTAAAACCCATATGTGGCAATACTTGAAGCTAAGAGCAAATGACATATATATCAAGTAATGTTACAAAACAAATGTACTTATTTCAACCCAAAACATGATCTTTTTTCTAAACCTAACCAAGTAGTCCTTTTGCCTAAACCTAATAGCAACTGTTTCCCAACTTTAAATACAATGTGTTTCAGCTGTGTATCACATAGATATGCTAAAGTTTAAAGCAAAACGTTAAAAGTATGCGAGTCAGTATATATGTAAGTATGTAAGTATATGGTGACCTGGATATGACAACAGGTTGACAGTGATAAATATATACAGTACATAATGATTTCTAGTCTTGCCAGTTGCATGTACATATGATGTGAAATTTGTCTCAAGGCTGAGCCAATGGAGAGCTAAGGAAGTATCCAAAATGGAAAAGTTCACTCTGCTGCCATGTATGTGCTTGATAATCTTCTCATTAGACTGTTTCTTTTGCTGACATTCAGGGTCTAACAAAAACTAATTAATTTATCCTCTAGGGACATTAATATCCACAGAAAACTTCACATAAATACTGCCATTAGTCTTCAAAATGCAAAATGAGTAGTCACAGAGTAAACTGCGCTCAGGTAGAAAAGTCTGGCCTGATGGTGACTTTAAGAGACTATTGTCTGGAGACCAATAACATTCTTACCAAATTCCATTGTGATCAATCCTATAGATATTTTGATCTAGCCAGAGTGATGGATAGACAGACCAACCAGACCATCATCTGTTGGCCTGCAGCTTGTGGGGCAAAAACACCAGGAAAAAAAGCCATCAGCTCTATGAGGCTGTACTGTACTAAATGATGTTTAGCAGGCATGTTCTCCATCTTAGTTTAGCATGTTAGCATACTATCGCAAAAGAGGAGCTGCCATTTGTTTTGCAGGTATTTAGTTATAAACCAAAGTCGTGAAAGTTTTGAAATTTTGAGGGAACACGCAAGCTGTTAGGGTACATCACCTAGGACTGAGGAATGTTTATACCAAATCTAATAGCAGTCTATATAATAATTGCTGGATCACAATTTAACAGTAATAAGTCGAAACATTGTGGTGACATTTCAGTCTGGACCAAAGTGGCCAAATGATTTACGTACCATGGAGCCATATCTGGAGCTCTGCCACTAGCATGGTAAACAAATACAGTTATAGAATTTTTCAAAAGCAATCTGTAGTGATGTCAAGGGAATGTGAGCAAAACATTCAATGATGGAACTTTAAAAATGTTGCTGTAAATTAAAAAGTAATTCTCTTTGTCCATATAGGGTAACCAGGACACACCGGCACCCCCGGACCCATCCATGGCCCAGGCTTACCCATCAGCCCAGTTTGCCCCCCCTCCCCAGAACGGCATTCCCGCCGAGTTCACAGCTTCACACCCCCATCCCCATCCACACTCCCACCCACATCCGCACCAGCACCCAGCAGCACCGCAGGACTACACCGGGGTCCAGGCCTCCGTCAGTGAGCACCCACTCAACATGTACCAGTCCTCACAGAGCCACAGCGAGCAGAGCGGGACAGACTCTGGCAGTCAGACGGTCACCGGCACAGCCACAGTAAGGCATCCTGGAAAAAGCTGATGTTTAAGCCCTTCTCCTTTCCCCTATTCTTCCTTTTCTTCTTCTTATCTTTATTTTTAGTATTTTTACTAGGGATTTAAACAATTAAAACCTGCCCTCCTTATCTAGGTGTATGGGCTTGTAGGACTGGATCATGAGGTTCAGGGTAGTAGGACTAGCTCGTGTGTTACAGGGTTATAGGACTGGATCATGAGGTAGAGAGAAATGGACTGGATCATGAGGTACAGGGTTGTAGGACTGGGTCATGTGATACAGTGCTGTAGGAACAGATCATGTGGTACAGGGTTGTAGGATTGGATCATGAGGTTTAGGGTTATAGGACTGGATCATGAGGTAGAGAGAAAAGGACTGGATCATGAGGTACAGGGTTGTAGGACTGGGTCATGTGATACAGTACTGTAGGAACAGATCATGTGGAACAGATCATGTGGTACAGGGTTGTAGGACTGGATCATGAGATTCAGGGTTGTAGGATTAGATCACAAGGTTCAGGGTTGTAAGACTGGATCATGGGGTACAGGGTTGTAGGACTA